GCAGAAAACAGAGGAGTCTAGGAATGCTGGTCAGCAGGAATGTGTTTTAGGCTTCCTAGACTGGTGACACAAAGGCCACGGGCAGGGTGTCCCTTTATTTCCATAATGTATCTAACAATGTCTCCCATGAGCTCTCTGATAGAAAGAGGAAGAAATGTGGGCTGGGGGTGGCAGTTACTGAATGTGCAGAGCTGAAACACTGATCTGTCACCCTGGGCCTTGAGCAGTGACCTTGAATTGCCTACGTCAGGGTCCTCTCTCAGGCCCTCTAATGTGCAACATTTTGTTTATGACTCAAGTGCAGACAGACTATGCCCTTGAAAAGTCTGCAGATGACAGCTAGAACACATGTATTTTTTTAAATAATTACTCAAGAAATATCTTGACATTCTAGGAGCACTAAAACAAAACTAAGATGAAAAATTTTAGAAATCAATCTAAAGTTCCTTATTTAAGTATTTTTACAGAAAACATAATAATAAATGAACTGCATTGCCAAGAATGTAAACAAACAAGGAAATAAAAAGGGCATACTAACTGACCAGAGGCCCAAAAAGCTAATAATGGCCTTTACAAAAAAGTACAATCATGTGCTACTTTGGTAGAAGTATGTTATTTAGAAGAGGAAGATGATAATTGTACCATTTTCAAGCATGGGCTTGGAAATATTTCTGGACTCCCCACTTGAAGCAAGACCTGGACAAGACAACTAAAGAATGATGAGGTATTTAGTATCTGAGATACAGTGGGCAAAGCTATAGCTGTTAAGTCTAGAAAACCTCCTCCTCAAACGTTGGGTCAAAATGGGGGGGGGGGAGAGAAGAAAATCTCCTCTTCCACTCCCTCTAACTCCTGGGTAACAGCAGGAGAAACTCTGAGGCAAAGAATGGTTGGAAATAAACTGATCTTTTTCCTGGAGGACTTGGGAGTTCCACAGAGAGAGGCAGGGCAGATCATCAAAAAAAATAAGACCCTCAACTTTAGGTATCAAATCTGATTTCCAAGTGAATGGGATGGCATTACAGTAAAGACAACTACTTTAAAAAGCTGGGGGTACTAAAAAAGTCTAACAAATACAGCACTGTTCTTATGCTGTTATTTTGAAATCCCGCTGGCATTACAGTGCTTTTTTTCCAAGGATGAAACACCATTCAGATGGCAACAACTTAAAGCACAAAGTGGCCCATAGTAAAGGAACCTCTATCTGACAATGTCATTTAAAATTACAATTTATTGTTCTTAGAACTTTAGCAGAGATAGTCAACAAAACTGAGATGAACATAAGCATCTTTGATCAACTAAATCCTACTGATAAACTTAAGTTTTTCCCCTATTTAGGAATAGTTCTTTAGTGGAACTTCCATCAATCTAGGAAAGAAAGTTCATAATTATGTCTTGATATCACAAGTCTCCACTCAGGTCTGATTCTCTCCCCTGTAAACTGTGAACATAGTTCTTTATACCACTGGATGACACTGATACAGACAAACTACCTAATATTATAATCTGAGTATATATCGATGATCAACCAATACACATTTCGTATCAACCATGTCCCTGCCTTCAAGGATTATATTCTTGGTTATATTAGAGAGGAGCTAATCAATAAATATATAAATATAACAATAACATCCAACTGAAAAGATTAAATATGGGAATAATGTACTGATGTAGAAGCAGTTGTTTTAGGTTAACTGGTTGAGGCCACTCTAAATGCAAACGTACTTCCTTAGAGTGGCCGATCATAACCATTCTAATAGCAGACCACCCTACTAGAGACCTGGTAGCCGTGCAAAGACATTGGGAAACAGTATTCCAAGTAGAAGGAAAGGCAAATGCAAAACATTCTTCAGACCAGAATGAATTTCATGTGTTCATGAGGTAAGAAAGAAAGAGGGGCACCTGGGTGGCTCAGTCGGTTGATCAGCTGCTTTCAGCTCAGGTCATAATCCCAGGGTGCTGAGATTGAGTCCCACATCAGGCTCCCTGCTCAGTGGGGAGCCTGCTTCTCCTCCTCCCTCTGTCCCTTCCTGCCCCCTACTCCTATGCTTACGCACTCTCTCTCTCTCAAATAAGGAAGGAAGGAAGGAAGGAAGGAAGGAAAAGGCCAACATGGCTTAGTGTTGTGAACAAAGAGGAAATAAAAGGCATAAAGATTAAAGGTCGGAGGACCGGATCATATAGAACACTATAAGGCACAGTAAGGAATTTAGATTTTATTCAGTGAGAAGCAGTTGAAGATTTCAAGCCATGAACTGAAGTAAGACTTTGGAAGGGCACTTTGGCTACTTCGTGATTAAAAGACATTATAAGGCAAAAAGTGTCAGACCTGTATGTAGGCTGCTGTAATCATCTGGGCAATAGACCAGAGTGGGACGAATGACTAAGGAGAAACGGGAGATAACCGGGAGTCACTGGATTGGAAGTGGTACCTGTGAATCTTACCGGTGGACTCCGTGAGGTATGAGCAACTGGGCAGATAGCTGTGCTACAAACTAAGATGGGCATGTATGTTTTTTTCAAAGATTTTATTTATTTATTTGAGAGAGAGCAAGAGAGAGAGCACAAGCAAGGGGAGGGGCAAAAGGAGAGGGAGAAGCAGAATCCCTGCTGAGCAGGGAGCCTGATAAGGGACTGGATCCAAGGACTCTGAGATCATGATCTGAGCCAAAGGCAGAGGCCTAACTGACTGGGCCACCCAGGCGCCCAACGGGCATATATTTTTAAGCATTTTGTGTGCTGGGGGTAAAGAGACTGATGAGCTGAAACCAACAGTAATGTTCTGCACAGGTAAAATGTGAATGCCTAATTGATTTGCAAGTGGAAAAGCTTAATGGGGATTTAGCTGCATGAGGCCAGAGCTCAGGGGCAGAGTCTGGACTGGAGATAGAAATATGAACACTATCAATGCAGAAATAGTTAAAGCCATGGAACCAAATGGGATGACCCATGGAGAGAGGGCCCAGGATGGAGCTCTGGGGCACCCGAATGTTAGCAGCCTGATGGAATAAATGGTCTCAGAAAAGGCAAGTGAGAAGGATTTGAGCGGTCAGCAGGAGGAGACCAGGCAAATGTCGCCACACTGACGCCTAGAGATGAAAGTGTTTCAAGTACGATGTCAAGTCAGAGGAGGACACTGGAATGGTGAAGGCAAGATGCAGGTCCCTGGTGACCTTCAGGGAAGGCCCCTCAGTGGAGTGCGGGTTTCACAAACCAAATGGACCATTTAGTTCCACCATTGGGTGTCTTCATTAAAACCAGTTTTGTATTTATATTTTCATTTATTTATAAAATATAAAATATCTAGGGCCACTTTTTCCAGTATCTTTGGTCATATATGCTCAAAAAAAGTAAACTAAATGGACAAAATATTACACAAGAGATCTTCAAACTATCTCAAGATTGCCCTTCCTAAACTGAACATTACAAAATGCAGTTATCTGCCATCACTATATTTCTTTCTAACATATGATTGTTCCTCCTCTATATCCAGAAGAACCAATCATTTACTGGCAAAACAGTAAAAACAATTTATTGTAGCAGGTGATCTGACCTGCCATATCAAAAACTCAAAGTAGTTTTTAAAAACTAACTGTAACTATAGCAGTCTGATTCAATAACTTCTGATGCCACACCAATTTCCTTTAACTTCTAGAACACTGTCTTCAGCAAACAGCAACTGAAAAAGGGTGGTTATCCAACTTTACATTTTGCTCGAGTCCCCTTGGGTACTTATAAATACAGGTTATAAAGGTACCCCAGACGGGGTCTGGGTGTTACTGTTGTTTTTAAAGTCACCTTCTTAAAAATCTACCATGGAAATTCTGACAGAGTCCCCATGCATCATACATTACAAAACAATGACATGGAAGTTTAAGACAGAGTAATATATGCAACAGCAAATCCTTGGAAAAACCATTTTTGCCTAAACCCCAACCAAGTATTAGACTTGCTATTTCTTGTAGGTCTCGTGGTCATAGATTCTTTGGTAACTGTCAAGCACTCCTTACGTGCTTAGTTAAATTTAGTTCAAACATCCAAAATGGTGAAGTTTATTTGTTTCATACAGTATGTGTACATGTCTGCTTAAGTACATTTTTTAGATAATGCTAGATTTAAAAAAATCATGTTATCTGTAGAGCAGCCTTACAAAACTAATACCACTACCCCTGGATATGCATTCACAAACTCAGATAATTCCTTTAAATAGTTAACGTCTCGGACAAGGACTTACCCGCATTTCTGCAATTATGAATGCTTTACGTGAATGTGGATAAGCTGATGTCAAAAGACCTATTTCAACAACAGCACTTGCACTGTATGTGTTTTTTAAGGAATATAAATAAATCCTCATTTATCATTTTCTGCTGAATTCACACCTATATAAGACTGGAAATTACATTTCCAACAGGCTTCCCATTCACCATTGCATAAGAGCAGTTTCCTGATTATGTGGAAAAACCCTTTAAAATTTTTCTCTAAAACTTATCTAAAGGCTGGGTAGAGAGTTTTAAGAAAAGGGGGAAATAAAGACAAGTGATCACTTTTAATGTTTTAAATGAAGGAACGGGTAAACCACAGCAGAGGAAAAAGAAGTGGAGAGGGAAGGACAGTGATGATATAAAATTGTTTGAAATAAGAAATGAAATCAAGAATTAAAAATAGAATTACATTTTCTGTTTGGCAATACACAAACAACACTAAGTGCACTTCATAAATTTTACTATTGTTGCTCTAAGTAATATTACCATAAATCACATTAGCAGTGTACTCGGCATTTTTTAAAAGCAAAAAGGATTGAGACTGTCAATAAGTTTCAACAGCTCTGTTACCTCAGAAGAGAGTAGAGGAGAAACAATCACAAGCTTTTACTAGGCCTAAAAGCCCAGTTTTAAGGCCTCCCATCCCTGCTACCCCTCTCCCCCCAGCGTCAGTGCAACACAGAGTATCATTCCGCCAGGAATTAGAAATGTTCACTGTTGCTTTCCTGATGCTTTTACCTGATGTGCAAGGGGAGAAGGCTGTTTGCCCCTTTTCTCATCGCGGACAGGGAAGAGAGACTTCAAGAGCTTTGGCATCTGTGGCACAAAGGATTTTACTGGATTCAAGTAGGAGGCCGCTAGGCTACTAAGTCCTGTCAACAATATCGATAGGAAAAAAGATCAAATGTAAATAACAATGTAGACATTTTCTCTCCTATAAATTTGCCAAATTTTACTTGTACTGAATCTAATAATATAAATTCTTAAAAGGTATCCTTAAAAAATGTTAGAAAAATGCAGTAGTATTATAGCTACCCTCAAACACAATGTTTTCTCCGTTTTCCAATTAAAGAACAGCAATTAGGGTAGTTCTAAAACATTCTAATATCCAGTGTTTCTGTTAGTATCTGAAAGGTAATCCAACCCCAGTCCTTGTCACTAACTGGTTCACATACTAACTTCTGCCCCAGAGTAAGATGGGGTTTTTCATTTTTAAATCACACAGCTTGGGGTGCCTGGGTGGCTCAGTGGGTTAAGCCTCTGCCTTCGGCTCAGGTCATGATCTCAGGGTCCTGGGATCAAGTCCCACATCGGGCGCTCTGCTCAGCAGGGAGCCTGCTTCCTCCTCTCTCTCTCTCCACCTGCCTCTCTGCCTACTTGTGATCTCTGTCTGTCAAATAAATAAATAAAATCTTTAAAAAAAAAGTAAATTGCACAGCTAATAACACACATGTATAGCTCTCTATCTAGACTTTAAAGTCTTTGAAGTCAGGGACTATGTCTTCTACAATTTTAGTTTTTCATATCTACTTACTGAATAAAGATAATGAAATGGACCTTTTAGAAAGAGGGTGATGTTTCAGTTGTTTTCACAAGACAGGGATTGATGCCCTAAACAAACCTGCTCTAAATTACCAAAGGCTGGGATCAGACATGCAGATGATGCCTATGATATAAGATTTCTTTTCCCTTAGTGAATAAAACTAAATTTCTAGGAAAATGTAGTCTAACTCATAAATGATAAAACACTGTATCCACATAACCCTTGACAAAGAACAAGGAAGTCAACCTGAGGAATTTGTGTGTGATACCGCCTGAAGAGAACACAAAACTACTCATATACCTCTACCCCTAAAGTAACCCCTGAAAGGTCTCCCAAGTTCATTGGTAATACAGTTGGTACATGGACCCATACAGTTCCAAGGTTTGTACTTTTTACATAAAGTATTGTAATATTAAATCTAAGTAAACTGTGAAAAGGTAAGGATATTTTATAATCATGAGAGCAATCATTAAAAACAGAAAGCAAAGAGATAGCTATAAATGCTAAGAGGTATGTTAAAACTGAGTTCAAAAAAGTCAATTAATTTACAAGAAGGCAAAAATAGGAAAGAGAAAAACAAAACAAAGAAAACAAACAGAAAATAAGTTTGAGATGAATAAAGAGCCGGAAGAATATAATCATCTAAATGCTGAAGAAAAAATAAGGAAAATCTAAAGTTCTATATACAAGAAATTAACATTCTACACTGAAGACGACCCCTAATTAAAGATCTAGCCAATAATCTATCAAAGGCTGCATATATCACAAAGCGAGACAATCAGACATGATGTGTCTCCTTTGGTAAATACACAAAACTACCTCCCATAGCTCCTTCAAACTGGCCTGAATCTGTTCAAGATTATAGAGCTAACCACCAATTCACAGGAAATATGGTAGACAGAGAACCATGTTTAAAAAACCTCATGGGGATATAACCAGCAAAGTAAGAACATACAAAGTCTACTGTACAAAGACAGTCTCTTCACCACATACAATGAATGGGGGGAGGGGAGAGGAACATATACATTAAACTTTAACTCAAGACACATACCAACTCATCAGAGTATATATGAACCTTACACTTGGATTTTCATTCAAAATAACTAAAAAGTATTTTTGTTCCAACTGGAGAAATACAAACACTGATTAGTGTTCGAAGATACTGGGGACTTATTTTTAAATTTTCTTAAGAGTGAAATGTTATTGGGGGTGTAGCTTTAGAGATACATGTACAAATATTTAAAGATAAAAGGATATCTGAGATTTGCTTCAAATTAATCGTGAAAGGGTGCAGAGAAGCAGCAGTAGCGATAAGTCAGAGTGGTGATGAACTGATCATTCTGAAGAGAGAGGATACCTAAGGGCACATCTTGTTACACTTTCTACTTTTTTTTTTTTTTAAGATTTTATTTATTTATTTGAGAGGGAGAGAATGACAGAGAGAGACCCCAAGAGGGGGAAAGTCAGAGGGAGAAGCAGACGCCCTGCAAGCAGGGGGTCCGATGCGGGACTCGATCCCGGGATCCCATGACCTGAGCCGAAGGCAGTCGCTTAACCAACTGAGCCACTCAGGTGCCCCTACTCTTTCTACTCTTGTATGTTTGAAATATACCACAAATTCCATAGTAAAAGGATTCTTCAAACTTAGAACAAAATAAAAAACATAAAAGGGGGGCACCTGGGTGGCTCAGTGGGTTAAAGCCTCTGCCTTCGGCTCAGGTCATGATCTCAGGGTCCTGGAATCGAGCCCCTCATCGGGCTCTCTGCTTCACAGGGAGCCTGCTTCCTCCTCTGCCTGCCTACTTGTGATCTCTCTGTCAAATAAATAAATAAAATCTTTAAAAAACAAAAACAAAAACATAAAAGGGCCTGTCACTAACAGATGATTGTTAAATGTACTGATGTTTTACAAAAAAAGATATAATTCACAAAAAAGAAATTAAACTCAGAAGAACAAAGTGAGACGCAAGAAGCAATGATGAGCAAAGCAAAGTAGTAAATATGTAAACCAAGTAAGCATTAATTGCACATTATTTAATTTTATTATTTTTTTTTCAGTAGCCCAGTGTGTAGCCCAACATGGAACCTGAACTCACAACCCTGAGATCAAGACCTAAGCTGAGATCAAGAGTCAGATGCTAAACTGAATGAGCCACCCAGATGCCCCTATTATGAATTTTTTTTTGAAGATTTTATTTATTTATTTGAGAAAGAAAGACGAAAATTAAGAGGGAGAGAGAATCTGAAGCAGACTTCAAGCTAAGCATAGAGCCCTTTGCGGGCTCAATCCCGTGACCACAAGATCACGACCTGAGCCAAAACCAAGATTCAGACTCTTAACTGACGGGGCCACCAAGGCACCCCACAATGTTTTTTTAAAACAACAAATTTGGGGAACCTGGGTGGCTTAGTCGGTTAAGCCTCCGACTTATGATCTTGGCTCAGGTCATAATCTCAGGGTTGGGAGATGGAGCCCTATGTTGAGCTCCATGCTCAGCTTAAGACTCTCTCTCTCTCTCTCCCTCTGACCCTCCCCCTGCAACTGGCATGCACACATGCATGCTCTCTCTCAAAAAATAAATAAATAAATAAATAAAAAATTAAAAATTAAAAAATTTTTTTACGGAACTTTAAAACAAGGTCATACTCTATGAGCCAGTAATTTCACTCCTAGGTATTAACTCAAGAGAAATGTTCACAAAATGACTTATGCAAGAACAAACTTTATTAACAGTAGCCAAAAACTGAAAACAAACCAAATGTCCACAGACAGAAGAACTAATTAAAAATTATGATAAATCCAACCATAAAAGTGAAATATTTCTCAAGAATAAAAAATAAATTACTGGGCTGCCTGGGTGGCTCAGTGGGTTAAGCCTCTGCCTTCAGCTCAGGTCATGATCTCAGGGTCCTGGGATCGAGTCCCACATCAGGCTCTCTGCTAGGCAGGGAGCCTGCTTCCTCCCTCCCTCTCTCTCTCTCTCTCTACTTGTGATCTCTCTCTGTCAAATAAATAAAATCTTTAAAAAAATAAAATAAATTACTGAAGGATGCTGTGGTATGGAGATGTAAACAGAAATGATGAATAAAAGAAGCCAAACACAGAAAGAGTATATACTGTATGATTCCATTTGTATGAAATTATAGAACAGGCAAAACTAATCTGAAAGGATAGAAATCAGAACATTGGCTGATTGTGGAGAGAAACTGGAGTCATATAAATCTTGTATATCTTGACTGGGGTATACAATGGGCAAAACTCATTAAATACGACCCATGTCAAGAAAAAAGCAGTCAAAAGAAATAGACCATGAGATGGCCCAGATGCTGGATTCAGCAGATAAAGACTTTAAAGCAGCTTTTATACACAGGTCCAAGGAAGAAAAGAAGAATCTGATCTTAACAAATGTACAGGTAGAGAATATCAACAGAGAAATTAAAACTTTAAAAGAAGAAGCAAGTGAAAATTCTAGAACTGAAAAGAATAGTAACTGAAATAAAATATTCTCTGGATGTGCTTAACAGAAGGTTGGAAATGGCAGGAGAAATTATGCAACCAGAAGAAACAAGAATAAGATAAAAAATAAAAGTTAAAAAAATCAGAGCTTCTGTGATCTGTAGGGTAATAGTAAGCAATCTAACGTGTGTAATTTGATTCTCAGAAGAGGAGAAAGAGAGAAATGGTCAGGGGAATAATTTAATGAAATAATAGCTGAACATTACCTAAATTTATAGAAAACTTCAACTTACAGAAAGAACCAAGAACATCAATGAAATGCAAGCAAGGTAAGAGCAAATAAAACTATACCTAAGTATATCATAGTCCAACAAAAAGAGAGAAAACTATGAAAGCAAACGAAGTAACAGTGTAAACAGACACATAATACATGTAAGGAAAAGAGACACAAATGATGACTGAGTCTCAGCAGAAAAGAAATCTAAAAGATAATCTAAGATTTCTAAGTGCTGCTAGTGGAAAAATCCTACCAAAAAAAGTGAAATAAAGATAATCCCAAAAAGGGGAGAGCACTCTTTCCTAAGACAACTGCACAATAAGAAATACTGCAGAATATTCTTTGGGCTAAAGAGAAATGATATCAGGTAAATATGAGTCTTCAGGAAGGACTAGCTAGTGCCAGAAATAATAAATATGAAGAAAATATAAAAGATTATCTATAGTCTCTTTAATTTACTTAGAAGACAGTGGCTATTTTTTTAATTTTTTAATTTTTTTATAAACATATAATGTATTTTTAGCCCCAGGGGACAGTAGCTATTTTAAAGCAAGAAGAGTAACACTGTAAAATGGGTTCATAATAACTGTAAAAGATTCAACAATAAGAAAACAAAATAAGGGGGGGTTGGGAACAGGCAAATGGAATTATACCCTTACAAGGTTCTAATATTTGTGCAGTGGGAAGTGATATATTATTAATTCTAAGTAGACTATGAGAAGTTAAGAATCCATACTACAGTCCTTGAGAAAGACTTTAACAAAGAAATACAAAAATACCAAAAACCCAGAAATGGAAATAAAATTAAATACTAAAAAATAGTTTTCGGGGCGCCTGGGTGGCTCAGTGGGTTAAGCCGCTGCCTTCGGCTCGGGTCGTGATCTCAGAGTCCTGGGATCGAGCCCCGCATCGGGCTCTCTGCTGTCTAGGGGAGCCTGCTTCCTCCTCTCTCTCTGCCTGCCTCTCTGCCTGCTTGTGATCTCTCTGTCAAATAAATAAATAAAATCTTAAAAAAAAAAAAAAAAAAAAAAAATAGTTTTCATTTAACCCAAAAGAAAGCAAAAAAGAAGTTACAGTGGGGGAACAAAATAGAAAGGCCAAAGAGAAACCAGCAGCAATGAGGCAAACCTAACAATAATATATTAGATGTAAAAGAACTAAACATGCCAATTAAAAGGCAGAATTTGTTCAGGCTAGATAAAAAGAAAAAAGTTAGACCTAACCATATGCTGGCTACAAGACAATCATTTTTAATTTAAAGAACAAATACAGGCCAAAATTTAAAAGACTGAGAAAAAGATACATCATTCACACAATAAGCAAAGGACAGTTGATGTGGCTATATTAATATCAGGTAAGACAGATTTCAAAGTAAGAGAATTCCAAAGATACAAAGGGACAGTCATAATGATAGAAACATTGGGGGGGAAAAAAATCAATCCTAAATATGTATATACCTAACAGATTATCAAGGGAAAAATAGGTAATTTTCATGATCAGATTTGGAGAGTTAATGTCCTCTGTCTCAGTGACTGATAGAGTAAATAGAAAAAAAAAAATCAGGAGAACAGAATATTTAAAGAACAGATGTGAACAAGGTTATCAACCATCTTGACCTAATTGATATATACAGAACACTATGCCCCCCAACAGAATAGTTTCTTTTCAAGCACGCATAGAATGTTTACCAAGATAGAACACAGTCTCAAAACCAACCCAAAAGACTAAAATATTAAAGAGTCTTTCAGATCATGATGAAATTAAATAAGTAATCAATTAATAGAAAAAAGTTCCCCCCAGACATATGAAAATGAATTAACATGCTACTCCAATAACCTATGGGTCAAAGAATAAATCAAAAGGAAATTAGAAAATATTTTGAATAGAATGAAAATGACAGCCCCACATTTCAAAATTTGTGAAATGCAGAAAGAAATAGAAATCAATGAAACAGAAAATAAACAATAAAGAAAGTAAATCAGATTTGGTTCTGGGAGAAGACTGAAAAAACTAAAACTAGTCTCAAAAGTAGTCAAGAAGGGGCGCCTGGGAGGCTCAGTGGGTTAAAGCCTCTGCCTTAGGCACAGGTCATGATCCCAGGGTCCTGGGATTGAGCCCTGCATCGCATAGGGCTCTCTGCTCAGCAGGGAGCCTGCTTCCCTTCCTCTCTCTCTGCCTGCCTCTCTGTCTACTTGTAATCTTTGTCAAATAAATAAAATCTTAAAAAAAAAAAAAAAAGTAGTCAAGAAAACCAGAAAGAAAAATTGTCAAAAATAAAAAGAAGGGGAGCCTGGGTTGCTCAGTCAGTAAGCATCTGCTTACTGTCCTGGGATGGAGCCCTGCATCGGGCTCCCTGCTTGGCAGGGAGTCTACGGCTCCCTCTCCCCCTGCCTCTCTCCCCAGCTTGTGTTTTCTCTCTCTCTCAAAAAAATAAATAAAATCTTAAAAAAGAAAAAAGAAAATTCTTAAAAACAAATAAATAAAATAAAAAAATAAAAAGAAGAACAACAGATCCTACAAACATTAAAAGGGCAATAGGAAACATTGTAACGTCTACTGAAATAAACATTAAAATTTAAATGAAACAGAAAATTCCCTGAAAACATAACTTATGAAAACTGACTCATAGGGAAACACAAGAAGTTAAATAACCCTGTATTAAAGAAATTAGTCATAATTTAAAAGTTTCCTAAAGAGAAAATTCTAGGCCCAGACAGTGTCACTGGTGAGTCCTGTCAAACATTTAAGGAAGAAGCAATACTAAGTACATAAAATCTTTCAGAAAAAAAGATGATAAGGAAATATTTCCCAAGTCATTTCATGAGGCCAACATAATCATGATACCAAAACCTAACAAAAAATGATGATAATAGAGAAGCAGATATTCACCATAGAACACATACACAAAAATCCTTTACGAGGGGCACCTGGGTGGCTCAGTGGGTTAAGCCTCTGCCTTCAGCTCAGGTCATGATCTCAGGGTCCTGGGATGGAGCCCCCCATGGGGCTCTCTGCTCAGCGGGGGGCCTGCTTCCCACCTCCCCTCTCTGCCTGCCTCTCTGCCTACTTGTGATCTCTGTCAAATAAATAGATAACATCTTTAAAAAAAAATCCTTTACGAAATATTAGCAAATAGAATCAAGCATATATAAAAGATCATCATGTTCAAGTGGTATTTATCAGAAGGATAATATAATGCAATATAAACTCAACATTCAAATCAATGTAACTCAACAGGATAAGGCAAAAAAGGGAAATATCAGATGACATTAACTAGGAGGTCAGTAGTTATGTGGTAGGAAATCCTGATTGAAACTATTTCTGAAAGATGCTCAAATTTCCTGACAGTGACTCACAAATGAAAATATAACTTACCTGGGTCAGGAGGATGGTTATTTGGGGGACAGTCAGGAAGGGATGGGGCAACTGGAGCTATTCCTCTGGAGACTGCAGTTTGTGATACATCCTGTTGACTCTCCCATCGGCCCTGTTAAGGACAAAAGCAGTAGTTTTTATTCAAATGAATCAGTTAACAGAAAGACCTAAAGATATTTAAGAAAGACTGTATACATTACTAAAGTTTTATTCCCTTTGCAAGACATGGGAGATTTGACTGTTTAAGTACCTTTCTTCTTACACTTTTCATCTTCCAGGTGTTAATTTCCCAAATACTAATAAGACCTCACATTTGGATATTCCTTTCAGTTCACGATTTGAAGTCTCCTCAGTTCTGTCCTAACATTATTTTCTATACATCATGTTGCTTTCCATGAAATATGGATATGTGAAGACATTCCTTTTGAAATCCTTCCTTACATTCTGCCTTATAGGCTGTTTCTGCTCCTCTGCCTCAAGACACTCTCTCGATTCAGATTCTCAAATCAAACTGGGGAACAACCCCAATACTGTGGACTGTCTCTTCTCCCTTCTCCAGGGACCACCCTTCTATCCATTCCAATACCATTCATGAAAGTAAAAATTCTAGAACAATATATTATCAAGGCTCTTATTTTCCACAGATATTAAAGAGAAATTCCAGTTAAGCGCAAATCAAGTAATCACAAGTTCCAAATAATGGAAGCCTCTGGATTAACACGTTTTATTGTACTCTCAACTTATTCTATAAATTCTCATTAAAGAGATTTCACTGCATTATACAAGAACAATGCCAGTTGGGTGATTAATTAACCAATCCAGAATGGGGTGGCGAACCACAAAAATGGGGCTAATCATCAAAGCACTCTTAACATCAGTACCATCTGGCAAAGAAATAAACCCCAACCAAATGTTACAAGTACAAAACCCAGTAATGGAGATGAGATGCAAGTCCTCTAAAAGCTTTAAGTTCCCCTTTGATACTTTGATAATCACTCTGCTTCTTTTTCATCAGAGTTAAATAATAGTATTTTATATTAGTCTAAGCTGGTATTCCACAGATGAGTGACCCTAACAATGTTTGAGTTTTCCTTAGTAATCGCCTACAAAGCGAGTTCTTCCCTGCTCCTGAAGATGGATGGAGTGGAAAGCCCTCTACGGTTTCAGATATGTATTGGAAAACCTATCTGCTTTTAGCAGCAACCTAAGTACTGATCATAAAATCAATAAACCTTAAGTGATCTGGATCCTGTTTACCTCTGAGAACACCACTTTTCCCTAGGAACTCTCTCAGCACTTGATATTAAAAAAAAAAAAAAAAAAAAAAAAGACGGCATGATGTCTTAGCATTAGGAAGCCAAGAAACAAAACAGCCATGAAGAGATGATTAGGGAAACCATGAACTCTGAAATACTTCACTGCAGGAGCATTTGTGTTACTATGAATCACACACTGATTTACATACTTTAATGTTTCTTAATGTCTTTTGCATTTAAATTTAATTGTCTGTCTGGGAAAGCCACAGTTTTGTGTACTCTGGGACATCACAATCAGGAAGCTGAACACTAAGGTCAATACTCTTTGGAGCTTCTCAGAGGAGGAAAAGCCTCATGCTTTGTTCACAGTGTTAAGCTCAAGCAAGGTTGTTTTGAAGACAACTTACTTAATTTGAAAATAAATTTATTTTTGTATTTTCGATTTTTCTTTCTTGTTTGGCAGCTCACACAGTGGCACTCTGTCCCTTAGGGAAACTAAGTAGCTGATTCGGAGTCAGCACCTCAGCCATTTGGTGTATAATGGTCCAATGACAAATAATGTAGGTGTCATCTCTTCCCCAAGGCACACTCGGGGCTCCACTAGCTTCCCGGGTAATATTTCCCAGCTGGCACTCCCACACACAATGTTACTAACAAATCAGAATGGAAGCAATAACTTTTATTGTCTTGTATATTCAAGTATCTCAAGTGAGAACATCTGAAAGGGTGCACACAGTACACACATAACGCCTTAGCCAGACCGCTAGCCTCAGCAGAGGATGAAAAATGGAAACACATTTCACTTCATCCATCCTACCTTAACCGTCATCTTAACCTTGAGGAATTTCACACACTAGCTGTTCCCAGGTCTCGCCAATCAAAGACAGGGACACAGAATGTCTCAAATTGATCTGGGGAAGAACAGACTCTGCTTCAGAGGGAACAACAAATTTGGATGATAAACTGGGTACAACGCTCCCTCCTCTTCCTTCTGATACCCACAGATCTCTGGGGAGACATTTCACTGAAATCATTCACTTATTCTCTCTTGTAGTGCATGTCCATTCTCTTGCCAAAAAAGAAACCCGTGGTTCAGTGTCTAACTACAGACACTGCCCCTCGGGGACAAGGCAATTAGTATCTTTCAATAAATTTTACTGGCTGTTCCAGAGTTATTTTCCCTTTACCGAAATGTTGGAGAGGGGGAAAAAAAAGGAAGCATCCCGTTAAAAGTACTTCAGAGGGAGATGAACTCAGGACAACGAATAAAAAAGGTATGGCCGAACACTGGACCTTTCTGCTGTCTTATGAGCTCAGTCCTCAAAGTGGAAAGAGTATGGTATATAAACTATATGCCTGGAATCTGAAAAGATAGATCTGTGACTTGTTTCTAACATTCTGCATGTCGACCAACTTCAGAATCAGCCAAGATGAGGAGATACAAGAGAGAAAACTCTGGCTTTGTTTTAGAGCCTTAAACTAGCTTCATACTTATTAGGGATTATTTGTGCTAACAGGCTGAATTCCAAGAAATAAAACCCTATTCGAGATAGCAATTATTTGTAGCTGGCATTGTACGTAAAGACAAAATGGAACAGGGAAAACACGGGAGGCTCGCAGCTGCCTTGAGAACATGCTTTGGTCTTCCTTACGCACCTAGAGTTCTCCTATACTGCTCTTCCCAGACACAAATTCTTTGGGTTTTCCAAATTAAAAAAAATAAATAAATAAAATAAAAAGTTAAAAAGAAAAAAAGAAGTTTGCTTTTGATCACGGAAGTGACAAAGAGGTAAAGAAAGAGAAATGCCAGTAACATTCCAGGTCCAAAGGTGGCTTCTAATGCAAATAATGAAGTGACTCATATGTGGCTTCAGCCTTCACCTGTGACACACTAATAACTGCAGTTTTCAGGAAGGCATTACAGCCAAAACACACGAAAATCATTTTTGTTAGCTGAATATTCACTTAAGCTTTTGGATACTTTTAACTGCATCAAGACCTCCAATCCGAAGATGATAAACATAGTACCTTACTAACTTATTAAAAAGTGTAATTCCATCTAAAATGGCTCTTAAGTTGACAGTGTCCCTTGCATTGCAAAAAGGTCTCAATGCACAACCAATTTTTAGATAGATAAACAATATGCTGAAATTAATTCTGCAGCTAAGTCCATCTTGGTAGACTGGTCATAAAAAGCTTGTTAAGTTTTCATTGTATATATTAAAAAACTGCCTTGGGGCGCCTGGGTGGCTCAGTGGGTTAAAGCCTCTGCCTTCGGCTCAGGTCGTGATCCCAGGGTCCTGGGATGGAGCCCCGCATCCGGCTCTCTGCTCAGCAGGGAGCTTGCTTCTCCCTCTCTCTCTGCCTGCCTCTCTGCCTACTTGTAATCTGTGTCTGTCAAATAAATAAATAAAATCTTAAAAAAAAAAAAACTGCCTTGGGGCACCTGGGTGGCTCAGTGGGTTGAAGCCTCTGCCTTCAGCTCAGGTCGTTATCCCAGGGTCCTGGGATCGAGCCCTGCCTCAGGCTCTCTGCTCAGCGGGGAGCCTGCTTCCCTCTCTTGCTCTCTCTGCCTGCTTCTCTGCCTACTTGTGATCTCTGTCTGTCAAATAAATAAAATCTTTAAAAAAATAAAATAATTTTTTTTTAAAAACTGCCTTATAATAATGAAATATCCAGTAACAGTAAATAGCAACATCACTGTAATTATATATATATGTGTGTATATATGTGTGTGTGTGTATATATATACATATATATGTATATATATATATATTTCTCCCCCTGCCATTTCTCAGGGCTCATCAAGATAAGAATACTCTTAAACCTTTTTATCTGTTTTACCCATCCCCCACCCACCTCCCCTCTGACAACCTCCAGTTTGTTCTCTGTATTTAAGAGTCTGGGTTTTTTGGTCTCTTCCTCTTTGTTTCTTAAATTCCACGTATGGGGGTGCCTGGGTGGCTCAGTGGTTTAAGCCTCTGCCTTCGGCTAGGTCATGATTCCAGGGTCCTGGAACCCAGCCCCGCATTGAGCTCTCTGCTCAGCAGGGAGCCTGCTTCCCCCTCTCTCTCTGCCTGCCTCTCTGCCTACTTGTGATCTCTGTCAAATAAATAAGTAAAAATCTTTATTAAAAAAAATTCCACATATGAGAAAAATCATATGGTATCTGTCTTCTTCTGACTTAGTTCACTTAGCATTTCTAACTTCTAGGTCCATCCATGTTGTCACAATGGCAAGATTTCATTTTTTTTAATAGCTGAGTAATATTCCATTGTATGTATGTCATTGTGTGTATGTGCTATACCAATGTCCCACTTCTTCTTTTATCCATTCATTTACAGACACCACTTGGGTTGCTTCCATTTCTAGGCTATTGTAAATAATGCAATAAACATAGGTGCGTGTATATATATCTTTTTGAATTAAAGTTTTTGTTTTCTCTGGGTAAATACCCAGTAGTGGAATTATTGAATCATATGGTAATTCTGTTTTTAGGTTTCTGAGGAACCTCTATTTCGTTTTCCACAGTGGCTACATAATTTCCATTCCCACAACAGTGCATGAGCGTTCCTTTTTCTTCCCATCCTCAACACCACTTGTTATTTCTTGTCTTTTTGATTTTAGTCATTCTGACAGGTATAAAGTACTATCTCATTGTGGTTTTAATGTGCATTTCCCTGATGATTAGTGATATTGGGCATCTTTTCATGTGTGAATTGGCCATCTATCTTTTCTGGAAAAAAAGATTCTCTGCCTGTTTTTAATCAGATGATTTTAGGTTTTTTGGTGTTGAGTTGTGTAAGTTCAGATTTTGGGTATTCACCCCTTAATGGATATTTGATTTGCAAATATC